AAAATAACGACTCTCAATTGTTTTTTTTTATTTCTCATTTTTACCAGCGTTAAAAATGCTACTAGTTTGCTAATTCAAACAACTTTGTATTTTCACTAATAACAAAGTTACTAATGGTGGACACTTAATTTGGATAACCCTGTATATTCTTAACAATGTCACATCAATCTAATTGCAAAGCTGCCATACTGTGCATAGATAGTTTGCCTAAGATTTCGCCAGTATGCTCCTTCCATAATAAATTCTCATTCAAATGGATTCCAAGAAACTTGACAGTATTTGTCGGCGTTATGCTCTGACCATCACATCTTACTAAAATACTCTGATCATTTTTACGCATATGAAATAAAACCAGATGCGTTTTGCTGCTATTAAGTGCAAGACCGTTAGCAGAACAGTAAGATAGCATTTTGTCACAAACTTCGGAAGCTCTGTGGCTTAAATTTTGAGATATTTGCATTATTAGACTTTAGTTTGAATGTCGTATCATCTGCAAATAATGTTACCTTTGTGTTACAATGACTTAAAAAAATATGTCATTGATATATAAAATAAATACGGCAGGGCCTAAGGTACTGTCCAAGGGTACCTGTGAGGGTGTTTCAATTGGAGATGAAACTAGATGTCTAGACTCGGTTTTAATCATAACGATTTGCGTCATTGATCTAAGAACAACTCAAGCCAATGAAGAGCAGAGCCTCGAATAGCTTGTCTCATAAATACTGTGATTTACTGTGTTAAAGGCACGGCTAAAATCTACAAATATAGAATGTTTTGCTTACTATCAAGGTCTATTATAGACTGAAATTAACCCTGTTTCTGCCTTTGCGCGACACCTTATTGAAAAAATCTAATATTAACATAGGTTATCAGTTATGATGACTAGATGACAAGATATTATAAAAGTTGAAAAATAACCCGGGAAAATGACTTTAGAATTAGTTGCTTGCAAGCAACATTGCGAGATAAAGTATAGGTTCTATTGTTACTTGCAAGCAACATTGACCGATAAAGGTAAACCTAATTGCACTGGTTTATATGGAAATACAACTATACATTTCAAATCATTTATTCATAAGACGAATATCAAGAAATAAACAAAATATTTATTTCTAGTTTCACATAATACAATGTGATGAAACAGCTAAATCTAATTGGAATTGAAAAGGTAGAAACAATTCTTATTTGGGGTGAAACAAAGCCTAAGATTGCACTTGGTACAAAAGATTGTTGTCGATCGATTGGCACAGTGCCTGCATCTACCTTTTGTACCATAAGTTGGCCAATGACCTATGCCATCTTTTTTGGTGGTGATATCAGGTCTCGTCAGTATAGGGTTTGATATTATTTTCGCAGGGGTTTTATTAGTCGAGGAAATGGATGGTCTGCCACGAGACCTTTGTTTTCCTGCGTTGGCCAACGATTTGGCTAATTCCATACGGAACTCCTTTAGCGGTTTTGACGTTACACGTGCTGTGTTGCAGTCCTTTCTATACAGAGGCCAGGCGTTGATCACTGACATATCAAGAACCCATGTGAAAATTGGGAAGTACCACCTTTTCGATCTGCTTGGACTGCGATACAGACCAAGTAATGATTTGGCCTTATCGACACCGCCCATGTGCTTATTGTATTGCGTTATAACGGATGGACAAGGGATGGCAATTTTTTTCTGTTCCACTTTCGAATATCTTTTTATCGATTTTACGGGATTTAGGTCACAGAATGTACTTGCTAATAGAACATATTTATTGTCAGCCCATTTTACTACTAGTATACCTTTGTCTGTATCTGCTTTATAAACGTTGGAACCTCTTCCCCTTTTTTGAAGCACTTTATCAGTTTCAAGTTGACATCCAGCTATTTTGTTAAAAAATTCAAACCTCCATTTGTGGGGTTTATTTTGGATATACTGCCTCAAGTTGCCCGCATATGTGCCTTTGTAAGACACCATTGTTTCATCAATTGAGTAATGATTTTCAAACTGGGGTTTATAACAGTTCTTGCGTACAATTTCTAATAAGGGTCTAATTTTGAAATATCGATCCTTTGTCTGGTCTGTTATGTTAGTATTATCATTGAAATAGATAAACCGTCTTAGTTTCTGAAACCTCTTCAGAGGCATTATATTGGCCACGTGATCTACTCTTGTATTAGCTGCCCAAAAATCTTCAATGGCAGGAAGTTTTATTACACCCATAATCAAGAGTGTAGATAGAAAATCCGTTATTTCTGACGGATTTGTATCAATACATTGCCCAAGTTGCTGAGTACTATAAACATTTGTCTGATAGACCATTTTATAATAATAATAATAATAATTTATTAGTCCTGTATGATCACAGATGTGATATAGGATAAGTCAGTCAGAGTACTACAAAAGCTTATAACAAATCATGTTAGTGTGGACGCACACATATTCGTACCACATATGGTATATTCCAAATATGGATACAGATAAATAAAATTAGCTTATTGATAGAATTTATAAATATAAAACATATATGTATATATAAAAAAGCGAAATAAAGGACAAACCATTAAATGACATTCAAACAACAATGATCAAAATCAAACAAGACATTCACACATTAAAAATTCCTCAATAGAGTGAAAAGCTTTCTCCAGTAAAAACTGTTTGACTGTTCTTTTAAAAGTGTTCAGTGGTTGTGATTTCAAATTGTTGGGGAGTCTGTTGAAAAACTTAATAGCCATGTATCTAGGGCTCTCCTCCGTTCTCGCCAATCTATGCGACGGCACCTCCAATACTTGACTGTTCCTTGTAAAGTAAGCACCAGTGCTAACAGAATTGAACTTGCTCAATTGTGTTTTAGCAAGGATAAGTATATTGAGTATATATACAGATGGTAAGGTTAAAATCTTTAATGTTCTAAATGAATCCTTGCAGCTAGTGAGCCTTCCAATTGTAGCTATTACTCGAACAGCCTTTTTTTGCAACACAAAAAGTCTTTGCAGCTGGGACGATGTTCCCCATGCTTCTATTCCATAAATTAGGACTGAATGGATATGTGCATGGTAAAATATCAGTAATATCCACTTCTCCACAACAAAACTTAACTGGTACAGACAGTAACAGAGTGGGGCGATCTTTTGGCTACTTTTCTCAATATGCGTATCCCATCTACAATTTTGAGATATATATATATTCCTAAAAATTTTGTTGCATCCACTTGTTTTATTGATTTGCCAAACGATTTTATTAATAAAGTGTGATCCATCGGTGAGGTGGAAAGGTTAAACCTAAGGAAAACAGATTTCTGATTATTTAAGACGAGCCCATTATTGCTGAACCACTTACCTGCACCAGCCAAGCTTGATTTGGCAAGTCCTACAACAGATTCTAGGTTTTTACCATTAACAAGTAAAGAAGTGTCATCAGCATACATTACCGAGCAATCGGAGGGGAAGTCATTGACGTACATTATGTATAAGGGAGGACCAAGTATGGAACCCTGTGGAACACCAGTATTGTAGAAATGTTGGCTGGACTGTGCATTTTGTACCTCGACATGATGCTTTCTATCCGACAGATAGCTATGGAACCAGTCAAATGGCTTCCCTCTGATTCCATATCTATCCATTTTATCTAGCAGAATACCATGGGCAACCAAGTCAAAAGCTTTGCTTAAATCAAGAAATATACCTATGCATTTTTCTCCTTTATCCATCTTGAGATATAAATCATCTAGGAAACGAAGTACGGCATTTTTTGTTGACATGCCTTTTCTAAATCCAAACTGATTACTATTAAATAATTTGAATCTGTCAAAGAAATTGATGAGTTGCAGAGAGACATATTTCTCAAACACCTTCGAGAAGGGACTAAGAAGTGAGATAGGTCTGAAGTTACACATATCAAACCTATCTCCAGACTTAAACAGCGGCCTAATTTTTGCAATCTAAGTTTGTCGGGAAAAATTCCTTCTTCGATGGAGCAGTTAATTAAAAAAGCAAGAGGATGGCAAACGATGTCAGATGAAAATTTTAACATATTAGTGCTAATTCTGTCTGCGCCAAAAGAATTAGAACCTTTAAGATGTTTTATAATAGCTGATATGTCATTTGCTACAGCAGGTCTGAGATAAAATGAATGAATGTTCCTATCTATATTAATACTATTTCCCACTTTGTTATCTACGTATGGTTCTGTAATACTATTAAAATGTTGCATAAATTTATCGGCAACCTCTTTTGGTTCTGTTATTAATTCATCTTTCACTTTTAATTTAATTACTTCATGTCTAGATGCATTTTTATTCTGTTTTATTACATTCCAAGCGGTCCTCGTTTTATTATTCGAATTTAGTATCAATGCGTTATAGTGTAAACGTTTTGCTGCTCTTAAAACTCTAGAATATACTTTTTTATATTTCATATAATAGTCCCTCATAAATATGTCTCCAGACGTAGACAGATCATACAGGTAGTGCAGCTTATCTCTTGATATCAATATACCTTTAGTTACCCATGGTTTTCTGGCTTTACATGTTCTAATAGTTTTTTGAATTACTGGAAATGCAATATCAATATAATACTGATATGTTTGTAAGAAAGCATCAAATTTCTCATTTATATTTCCAGTCGAATGGTAAATATGATCCCATGTCTCTTGACTTAGAAGAGCTAGAAAGACGTCGATGTTAGCTTTATTGTGTATGTCTCGGTATTGGTAGGATATTTTCGGTGGTTGCTCTTCTTTTTGGCAGTTCAATGATAATAATTGAGCAAAGTGATCACTAATATTGTTGTTTACCACAGCAGTTTCACACTGTACATCCACTCCCACACAAATATTGTCGACCTTTTTGATGAATTATTTTCAAGTTATTCGAACTGTCTGTTTTAAGATTTCCACAATTAGCATTATGTTGAACATTACTTACTTTCAATTCAACGTTATTCATCCTATTAACGAAAAAAACTTGCCTCCTGTTGAGTGGTTTGTGTTAATAACTTTCAAAACTATATTACAATGATTAGATTAGATCAAATGAAAAAACTTTGTAAAATACTCAATGGTAACTGCAATGTTGTCAGGTTCAGGAAAGTCTGGTGAAGGTATGTTAGCAGAAACTATGTCAGCTTCAATCCAAGAATATGATTCAGTTTTTCGTCTTTGTGTTGGTGGCGGCTCAGTTTCATCGCCACTTCCTTCGAATTCAGAATTACTTTCTGGAAGCAGCATGTCAAGTGCTGAAGGCACTTCTGCATCGTTAAGCTCATTTGTTTGGGAAATATTTTCTCCGTCACTGAAATCGTCATCTGAGACATCGGAAATATGCGGATCTGTGGGAATTACGGTCAGTGCCTTCTTTTTGCCGATAAAACATGTAGTGCTTATCGTTGGAAAATTATCCAGATCGGAAGACTGAAAAAGAAAACGTAATTATTTTGGCAATGTTGCTTGAGAGATACATACTAAACAAAGTCATTTTCCTGCCTTATTTTCTGATCTATCGCTTAAAAATAATCATAAACATGAAGACTCAACCTTCTTTTATACCAACCAAGGCTAATAGAACATAAAAACAAAAGATTGCTTACCATTTGCAACTAAAATCCCAACTACAGATTCATACGTGCACAAACACCTGTTACGCGGCGACCGTATTGAAAAGTTTGACTCAACTTTTTATAAACAGAGGTCGCTCATAATATTATTTCCGTTAATGAATAATGTAGCTTACGCGCAACACTGCCCAATCAGACCGTTAGAGCAGGGAGGACGAGAAATTGAGGTTTAAAGATGATGTTGCCTACAGGCTACAGCACCGGATATAGGGTTAAGGCATCTTGTGTAGTGAGGCCCCCAAGAAACCTAAATTGATCAGTATTGATGATATTCAACTGGTTGATGAATCTAGTGAGGCGGGAACAGTATGCAATTAGAAATTAAATGCCTGTCACCCTTTTTGTGGATGGGGATAGCCGTAGCACTCTTTAAGATTAGTAAAACAATTTTATACCAACGTCTAGCCGTACTTCAAATATCTAAAATTGATTTTTGCATTTCGTGGTAGATATCTAGGTTCTTAGACTCTACAGAAAGCATACTTTTCAAAAAATGTTCTAGTTACCCAATTAAAACTGTTCAAAATGAAAATGAAAGCTTCAATCGCTCTTTGGTTATGCAGAATCTATGATTCTTGAGAGGTTGAAATTACCCATCGGCGAGATTTCTAAAATCACATTTTTCCAAAAGGCTAGTTTGCACAACCAAAGCATTTCAATCATGCGTAGTGCTTATTGCATTGCCTCCGTAATTACACCTTTTTGGCTACATTTTCAAAAGCAGCAGGTCCTGATGTTGACGAAAACGATAAATAAAAGAGCTAATTATGTCTGAACGTGGAAAACGCTATGCCACACACACAACTTAAAAGGAATGTTTCCTGACGGATGGAATATATGTATGCAGCATTATCATAGGCGTCACTTGGATGCTTGACAATTTTTCAGTGAACGGAAGACAAATAAAGAACGGAAGATGGCACCTGGGTTAAAGATAACAAGCAAAAAACTCGGCTTTTTGCAAAATATTTAGCTATCACACTCCGCCATAATAGATGAATTCTAGTTCTGCTCAAAAACCTGTTGTAATCACATGAGAAATTCTGAAACTTTTGCCAAGAAAATCTATTCCAATGCTGAATTTAAGACTGAAATAAATATGCAAAATTCCAATTAGCGTTCATATGAAAGAACAAAGTTGATGACGGAAGTCGAACGAAGATACCTCGAATTGAAAAACTGAGTTTGCGATAAATCTCTTATATGAAACAGACATTCTGATAATTTCAACGCCTACCTAGGAAATTCTGTTTTTTTTAATAACTAAGGTTTGGCAATGTAAATGTATGACATACTATAGGTTCTTTTGATTAGAATTAAAAATTCCTTACCTGTGTAAAAATCCAATATGGTGTCCTTGGGGAAAAATGCAGTTGATTATCACTGGTCAACACTGGTTTTGCCACACGAACTTTGACAGCTAATTTTGTTTTATCAGTCTACCCTCATTATTACATGACAGCTGTCATATGTCTATTAGCCTCATAGTTGTTGTGATACGGTAATACTCATAACTAGTACTACGGCAGTAAATTAACAGAAACGCTTACAAGTAAATCCTTATAAAAATATTTGTTGTTAAATTTCAACACTTTTTTGTGATTTATTAACCCTGTGAATATGTCGAGGAAGTGTAATAATGATCCTAACTCTTTTTGTTATGTCTGCGGAGAACTAACATTCAAAAAACAACGACGAAATTTTACGAATCTTGTGTTGGAGTGTTATCACCAATGTTTTGGTTCTTCTGTCGCCCATCAAGACAAATCCTGGGTCCCTCATGTCTGTTGCATAACGTGTGTGAAAAATTTAACTGACTGGAAGAAAGGTGCACGACCTATGCCGTTTGCTGTACCCATGATATGGACTGAACAGCGAGATCACGTTTCAGATTGCTATTTTTGTCTCACAGACATAAAAGGTATAAATTACAAGAAAAAAACCACAGTTATTTACCCTAACTTATCTTCGGCTATAAGACCAGTCTCTCATTGTAAAAAATTGCCAGAACTAATACCAGTTGCAACTACGTCTGTTGAGAACAATTCACAACCGTCCACTTCAGGTGAATGTATTGACGAGGACGATGACTGAGTTAAAAGGAATTGTAAACGAGCTACATTTGATAACTCAAGGAGACCTAAATGATTTGGTTCGAGATTTAAATTTGTCAAAAAAGCAGTCAGAACTATTAGGATCACGTCTAAAAGAATGGAATTTGCTACATCATAATACAAAAGTTAGCTATTTTCGAAACCGTGATCAACACTTCAGAACGTATTTTTCTCAGGATGGAGATTTGGTGTTTTGCAATAACATAAATGAGATTATGAAAATGTTGGACATAGATTTTGATCTCTCTCAGTGGCGTTTATTCATTGATTCTTCGAAAGCAAGTCTAAAAGCAGTGTTATTGCATAATGGAAATAAGCTTCCGTCTGTACCTCTGGCCCATGCTGCAAATATGAAAGAAACCTATGAAAATATGAAACTTTTACTTGAAAAAATAAATTACAGTACATATTCCTTCAAAATCTGCGGTGATCTTAAAGTTGTTGCACTATTACTTGGACTTCAGCTGGGTTATACAAAGTTTTGCTGCTTTTTATGTGAATGGGATAGCCGAGACAGAACTAATCACTATATAAAAAAAACATGGCCTACGCGTGTATCGTTAGTTCCTGGGCAAAAAAACGTAGTACAGCCAAATAATGTGCTTCTACCACCATTGCATATCAAATTAGGATTAATAAAAAATTTTGTGAAAAAGAAAAATTCCCTAAAATAAGTGATGCAAAGATAAAAGAGGGTATTTTTGTTGGCCCTCAAATTAGGGAGTTAATAAAAGATTCAAGATTTGAAGAAAAATTAAGCGATTTAGAAACATCTGCATGGAAGGCTTTTAAAAAGTTTCAAATTTTTTGGGTAACCACAAGAGTGACCGCTACAGAGAGTTGGTTAGCGAGCTATTATTGTCATATCAAGCATTGGGTTGCAACATGTCACTTAAGATCAATTTTTTAGACTCGCACCTGGATTTTTTTCCTGACAATTTAGGGGCTGTCAGCGACGAGCACGGTGAGAGGTTCCATCAGGACATTTCTAATATGGAAAAGCGGTACCAGGGCAAATGGAGCCCAAATATGTTAGCAGATTACTGCTGGACAATTAAAAGGGACCAACCAGAAGCTAAATATTCAAGAAAATCTTAGATTATTAAGTCATTTATAAAAAAAATAACTTTTGATTTACGAGATGTGTGTTTTTTCTTAATATTTTAAATTACTCAATAGAATAAAATCCTTGTCTAGCAAATTTTTTTAACTGTTTATTTTTTCTTACAATCACCAATTAAAATAAAAAATATCAAAAAAGTCCGTGTGGCACGACAAAGTTAAAATTTTGTTGACCAGTGTTATGGAGATCAAAAGACAAGGCGTCGTATCAAAATTCTAATTATGCAATCTTATAGATGATGAAAACTGGCAATTTATTTTGGAATCCCATTACAAATAAAGTTAGGAAAAAATTAAAACCATTTTGGGAAAATTCGTTTTTTTGAATTTCATTATTTTCTAGGTGCCAATTTTTTAGGTACCTGAATACCCAATTTTGCCAATTTATGCGATTATGTATCTATTACTGTTACCGAGACTCCAATGGTGAGTGTCGGATTTGAAACACACTGTATCTACACCCATATATGCTCAGGCATTATCTCACAAGAGCATCCATCACTTCTCATGCCCAGATTAATATGGTCAGACAGTTGCTGGAAAAAATCTCCCTGGATTATTTCCAGACGCTACTTTCCTACGCCCCTGCTTTCCATATAAAAGTTCAAAGCATCCATGTCTACGCCACATGCAGGCGTAAATCCAGTCAACTTGTCGAAAACTTGCTTATTTACTACCTTTCAAGTTACCAGCTTGGCAGCGGCGTTTGCATGTGAAGTAAAAATGAACCAATCAACGCCCCTCTTTGCTTTTTATCCGGCTTAGAGGTAATATGAAAACCGCGTCTGATACACACAAAAGCTTTGTGCCGGTACTTCTTTTTCGGCGCGTGTTCTTGACAGATTTGATTTAATATAAAACCATGCGCGCTACGTGATGTCTTGCAAAATTGCCTTTCTGCTGACGTACACATACAGAAAAGTACATCAAGCTGGATGTGACAAAAGTGAAAAAGGACGAGATTGGGGAGGCATGAATTTTTTTGGTTTGATGGGCGCTGTCATGCTGCTTGAACGAAGCAGGTTTGAATGGTCCTACTAGCACATCACGGCACAAGGATAGAAAATCGTTATCGCTATCTAAAGAATATGATGTGAGTAACTTTAATGAGAAGATACTTATGCGAGGATGGTAAACATGGTAGTTCTTCAGGGCTCCATCCTAGGTCTGTTACTTTGAAACGAAGATGCAGATGCTGCCAGGAATTCGCCTAACAGGGTATATGATGACGATTTGGCGGTACTATTACACTAGGCAGGCTTCTGACACTTGGGTTACTATATACAGGGTGTCCCGAAAAAAGTGTGCAATATTCTACCAGCGGTTTCTAGAGCTTAAAATAGGAAAAAAAGTTTATATAAACATAGGTCAACAAACGTCCCCTAAGGGCGCTACGGTCTTTTAAAGGGGCTCCCCTGGAGATGGTTTTTTCTTAATATTTCCGAAACGTGTTGAGATAAAGACATAAAATATGGTATTCTAGCCTAGTTTTTTATGCTGGATTTAAAAATATTAACAATTTTAGACAGTATTGTTTGGAAGCGTATGTAACAGGGACGGACTCAGGTTATTTTAGCCCCAAAGTTTTTGTGTGATTCTATTTTTGAAATTTAATTTTAT